TACTTGAGGTGACGCTGTTTGGCACCGAAGAGATCCCACGTCGGATGCCGGTTCCCTACTTTACTGACATCACCACGGACAGCTGGTGGCCAACCGCTGAAATTATACGCTGGGGATCTTTTGTGCCGTATTACATGTGGTGGTATTGGCTGTAAATACTGTTTTAGCTATAACTCGCTGACCTGGCAAACGTGCTTTTGCCATATATGAGATTTCTAGGGAATTTCTAGTGTAGAAATAAAATTAACTTATTGTAAGTATGTAAGGATTTAGTAAATGAGTGAAAGAGGCATGTAGCGTTGTGAACGATGAGGGAATATAAAAATAACAAAACCTCATTCAACCACATAATGCCTCATTTTAACGAACAAATTATCCAAAAAATAAAAAAATTAATGCTAGAGCTGGACCACCCTTATCACTTAAGGGTATGAGAAATAAATAGCAGCCGATTCTCAAACCTACTGAACGTGCATATAAAATTTCATAAAAATCGGTCAAACCGTTTCAGAGGAGTATGGTAACTAACATTGCGACACGAGAATTTTATATATAAGATGAACATATATATGTCGGGATGAGCTCTTCCCGATCATCAGCCGGGTCCTCGTGGTCAGTCATTTGTAGGTTAGGCTCGAAATAAGAACACAATTAAATAATAGCAGATTACAAAGGCAGTGATCTCAGATATGCGTGCGATCGCAATGGTGCGTCCAAAAAATTGTAAAACAGAAAATGTTATCTACGTCTATGTTGATCTACAATGGATTTATCAAAAACAAAGCAAAATCTGTAATAATAATAATTAATAAATAATAATAATATAATTATTATTATAGCTCGATTAATTAAAAAAATTGCATACCTTTCAAGTAACTATGACAGTACAATAATTTTATTATTTTGACCTGAAATTCTGATCTGAATCAAAACAAAAATAAATATTATTTTAATTATTATTGCGGCTTCCTATCAATGCTTGATTTTTCAGTTTTTACAGTATATTTTTTAAGTAACGGTCGATTTAGTTAATATTGTTTTTTTTTCTCCTAATTAATCGCTGGTAGCGCAAGAAGCCATTCCAGCTACGCCCGGACTGGTAGGTGAGCTCACGGGCTCAATCTGAGAGAATTTGCTAACACTAGGCCTAGCTAGAGCAATGCTTCGCAGAAGTTTGTATTATCCCTTCATTGTATACAAAACGAAGATATTCTAGTGCTGTGAGATCATGTAAAATGGAACTATACTGAGACCTTAGAACTTATATCTCAAGATGATAGGTGGCGCATTTACGACATAGATTTCTATGGGCTCCAGTAACCACTTAACACCAGGTGGGCTGTGAGCTCGTCCAATAAGCAATAAAAAAAAATCATAAGGCGATAATGCTCCTTGTTTCTGTTGCTAAAACAATGCACGATTTTTTTCAATGTTAAGGTAAAAACTATTTGTAGGCAGCGGTTTGGCTCTGCCCCTGGCATTGCTGAAGCCCATGGGCGACGGTAACCACTCACCATCAGGTGGGCCGTATGCTCGTCTGCCTACAAGGGCAATAAAAAAATATATTTGAATACGACCTTGACCCAAACCGACCTCATGTCTCAAAGTGCGATACTCATGTTTTACGTATACAGTGTCCGATAAAACCAGAGGAGCCGTGAGATCATCTGCCCTCGTTTACAGCCAATAAAAAAGTAATAAAATATTGAAAAAATTAACGATATTAACTGTAGAAATGTTTTAATCAATACGATTTATGTCTATTAAATTATGATTGAATAAATCTTATTTGATTATCACCTGTCTGGTTAGTTTCGATGGTATTTAACTATGAATTTGTATTTTATTTGAAACGTAACCTAAATTCCTTAAGCCTTCGTCAAACAGAACGCGTACTTAGCGCCGCGTACTTAACGTCGCGGTCTTCAAATTGACCAGATGAGTCTAACGCTCCTTGACGCAACGCATTCGCCAAATCATAGTGCCTTTCGATAACACTGTGAAAATTTAAAAGTATTAAGAAACTGAGTGATTCAGATGTGGCATTGTATAAGCATGGGTATTTTCTAACTATTTATATATCATTTTTTGGGCATTATCTAGTATTTTAATACACATTCACTCGGACGCTAAAATAAAATTTGTAAAAAATTACAACGCCTGACGTCAAAGCGTCCTAACGCCGCGACAGAGCGCTGCGTACTTATAGCGCTGGGGCTCTGTTTGACGGTATGTTACCATAGTAGTACAACACATCTCGGCGTCATAGCGCGGCGTCAGTTTAGCGCTCTACGCGCGCTAATTACGCGTTCTGTTTGACGAAGGCTTTAATTCACAATATTCAGAAGCGCTGCACGATAGTTTGGCTGAGTCTATTTCTAAATACAGTAAAAGCTCGTCAACAAATCATATGTTCGCGGATCTAATCGGTACTTACACATTGATAAAAATGATTCCAATATGTAGATATCAGACCGAATGTTCTGTGTAAACGCGTCGTCAAATGACGGTGACAAACTAGACCTTATTACAACTGTGCGTAAAGTATGTATTTATTTGTTGTCGCCTAGGATCGTATCCCCTATAATCTCCCATACATGTAACTTACCATTCCACATTCACGGTTTCTGTGTCCGCGGCGTATTTACGGAACATATATCCCGCGAATAAAAAACTTTTTTACTTTAGATCGCGTTATTACTCGTGTCATTATAGTATCGTATTAGAAGTCGTCGTGGCCTAACGGATAGACTGTCGGTGCCATTGTGTTGAGCGAGCACCTGTGTTGAATCCTCAGGCGGGTACCTAATTTTTCTAAGAAATATCGTTACTAACAAATGGTTCACGATTTGATTCCACCGGTGAAGGATAGACATCGTGTAATTAAAAATGAACCCTGAAAATTATAATTTGCGTAATTACTGGTGGTAGGACCTGTGAGTCCGCCGGGTGGGTACCACCACGCCCGCGCTATTTCTGCCGTGAAGCAGTAATGCGTTTCGGTTTGAAGCGTGGGAGCAGCCGTTGTAACTATACTGAGACCTTAAGAACTTATATCTCAAGGTGGTTGTGGCGCATTTACGTTTAGATTGTCTATGGGCTCCAGTAACCACTTAACACCAGGTGGGCTGTGAGCTCGTCCACCCACTAAGCAATAAAAAAAAGTGTGTGTGTCCGCTCCGACGCACGACTGGAGTTTACTGGATATAAAAAATTAAACGAAACAATACGAGAAATAGTTCTATATTACGACAACACGATACACTACAGATTATTAACAAATTAACGAGACACAAAACAAACGACTAACAAATATATGAAAATACAATAATGAGAGAAACGCGCGATCAGTACGAGGCTTTGTGGCGGACTGCCGGCGCAGCAGCCCGGCGTGCATTTCGTGTGACATGCGCAATCAGGCGCATAACGCATTTCGTGTGACATGCTAGTACGATTTTGGTCCCCATAATTTT